TACTCTTGGTATATTTTGTTTAGCATATCTTTTATTGAACCAGTTTTAAGCCTCTAAAATTACTCCTTGTCTTAAAACCTTCACATTCAAGGTATTGAGAATTTCTTGGAATTATTTAGATTTCAGGGTTATTTAATTCGCCTCAAATTCAATTCTCAGAAATTCCCAAGAATTCCACCCTTACTAAGTATGTATAGCTGAGAATTCCAAGTCCTCACAAAACTGGAACCTTCCTTTCCCATAAATTCCCAGTAATTCCAAGCTTTTCAAATCAGAGCTTGTTTGCATAGTTGAAAATGATTGAGAATTCCTAGGAATTCCAAGTCCTCACAAAACTGGAACCTTCCTTTCCCAGAAATTCCCAGTAATTCCAAGCTTTTCATATCAGAGCTTATTTGCATAGTTGGGAATTTTTGAGAATTCCTAGGAATTCCCAGAAAACTGGGAATTCAGTTCGCAAGGGTTAAACGGCCTCAGTGGAGTACTGGCATTGACACCATCTGCAAAATCAACTTGTCATCATATATCAAATTCCGCTAGGGGATTCTCTCCGGATTTTCTCTCCCGAGTTCATTTCCAACTGTTGTAACGGTAAGCAGTCTGAGTCTCAAATGATGACTCACTTTTCAGGAATGTGTAAAATCACAAAACAATGTGTATCCATCTTAAGGATGAACAATTTTTTTCCCCGCTGAGGCCATCCGTCGGTTAATCGCGTAGACACGGACTCATCCGCGCGAAAATGAGCCCTTGAGTCAACGATATCGTTTAAAACGCGTGACCGGATATAAAAGTGTGAGCTAAAATTGCAAAAACCGGATATAAAAGTGTGAGCTAAAATTGCAAAAACCGGAAATAATGCTTGCTGAGTTGATGAACTAATATCTGGTAAATTAGTTTGGTGACCTACCCTGACTTTTTGTGTAAAAATTAATTTTATCATTACGCGTTTCTAAAGAAAATTTTAAAAAAAATTATCTGGTGGAAATTCTCTTACATTTTAAAACAACATTTTCCTAAATACTTTCGGCTAGATGTCCTTTGATCGTCACCTAAATGTCAGTCTAAAATGGGCTAAATGACCAGCAAGAAAGCCCTTGTCAAATGCTTCAGTGCCAGGGTTTCTTTGCCTCCAGGAAAATAAGGACTTGAGCAACGCGAGATGGCGATCGGTCTGCAAGGGGGTTAAGCACCAATACTGAGAGCCAGAACCCTGACAAACCTCTCCCTGACTTGTCTTAAATCTTCCCATGGGCAGAAAATTACTACAGGGCCATATTTACTCAACGTTACAGTGCAGGTCAGAATAAAGCGAACATCGCAGACGCAAACTTGACGCACGTCTGACGCGTCTACGCGTCTACTCTGACGCGTCAAATACGCGTCAGTGCTGCGTGCGTATATTCTTTTGTTATTCATGGCTCTAAGTTTGCTTTGTGGGGCAGTGTTTTGCAAAATAAAGAAATATCCTGATCTGAAAATGCGGCCGCCAACAAGAAAAAATTTGCATAGTATGAAAACGTCAGTGAAAGCTGTCATATTTCCAATCTTGCTCGCTTCGCAAATACCTCGTCTCTAGTTTATAAGGAAAAGAAAAAGGAATTGTTTCTTCTGAGAAAAGAGAGTCACATTCAATACTAGATCGAACAGCGTTTAAAACGTCCAAGTATTCATTAAATATTAGTTTGTATTTTATGAATCTCGCTCGCTCGTTCGCTTTTCAGTTACCGCCGATGTAAGCTATCATATTTCCAATCTTGCTCGCTTCACAAATGACTCGTCGCTTGTTTATAAGGAAAAAGGAATTGTTTGTTCTGGATAAAGAAACCCAGACTTAATACTGAACCAAACAGCGTTTCAAACG